AAAACCAAAAGGAATTGCAAGCAATCTAAATTGCCACACCCAAGTCATATCTATCTATCTATCTATCTATCTATCTATCTATCTATCTATCTATCTATCTATCTGTCTGTCTGTCTGTCTGTCTGTCCGTCCATCCATCCATCCATCCATCCACCCATCCTCTTTTCACATCAGTCCTATTCCAGATGACAGCTTAAATAGTCTTGCCTGTTCTTGAAAAAGATAGCAGAATTGGTCCTGGTTAGTACTTGGATGGGAGAAACCACAAAATCCCAAGGCTGTAAATTAGACCAGAAGTCAAAATAGTATTTTACAAAAAAGCACTGGAAAACCAGTTCTAATATTGCTATTTAATAAACTACATGGACAAATTCATAAAAGGAGTTGAGTTTAATTTGAGAGAAACTACCTTTTTTATTCCTGCAAAACTATACATGTTAAGGAAAAAAAGATATGCATCGCCAATACATTTTTGTGTCTAACAAGGAGATAATTTCAGTAAATTCTGATTTGACCTTATCCAATCTGGCTCCCTCCGGTTGTACTGGGAAAATTACTCCCAGCAATTATTACCCAATACCTCCGGATGGAAAATCATTCAGATTTTGACTTCCCCTTGTAGATATCCCTGGATGAAAACTATTTTATACTTCAGCTATGTTGACTGAGAGGGCTATATAGTTTGGCCAAAGCCACCATACTCTATGGTGTGGAATGAATGAATGTGCTGCCAACAAGAAAAGTATCAGTGAAACACTGTCCTCATATCAAAATGTGCTAGGCTGAGCATGTCAACAACTTTCCTTCAAGGAGAGCACTCAGATATATTGGACCAGAGTTCTGACCATCACTGTTGATCATATCCCTAAGAGTTATTGTCTAACACATCTGTGTAGAACAGTACCCTTCCCCAAGATGGTGTTAAGATATAAATTGTTCAAATATAGAAGGTATACTTACTTGCAATAGTACCTGACCACCACACTATATCAGTTAAATATGAAGTCCCTGGATAAGTGAAGAATAAAAAAATAGATCATCAGTTTAAATAAAAATATATATTTTATAGATACAATTTTCCATAGCTTCAACAATATGTTAACTCTACCACTACCCACCTTATACAACTAATTATTTAGCCAAGGTATATGAAGCAATTCATACCTTTGTTGTATAACCATGTGAGTCAGTATTACTTTATATAGTTTGCTTCTAGTGAAGGTAATCAATCAATGTCCCTGGTATGATTATTAGTAATTCAACTATTAAGGAAGTGGATATGTGCATGTTTTCCCCCCCTTAAATCATATTATCGGATTAAAGTATTTGGAAAGTATTCCAGAAAAATAGATTTCTGAAATTGTTCTTGAGCATCACTATTGAGCCTCATCAAATGAGACATAAACAGGTATGCACATATGCCTTCAATATTCATGAAAAGGTTGGATTTGATCTGTTTAAAAATTCATAGATGTTTTGTTTTTTGTAGAATTTGACATAACCATTATGCCTGTTTTTAAGATCTGAAATATATTTTGTAATCTTTGTAGGCCTTTTCAGAAGATAATCTGTTCTTGTCTTCTACAGATATGAATAAAAGTAGAAATGGAGATGAAGTTAGAAACAAGCATATCTGCCTAACTTTCCATGCTGTGCCTCAGTCTCTACAAAGTACAGTATTTGGAAAACATTGGAAGGTATTTTGGAAAGCACAAAAGATTGTTGTCAACCAGTGCTGCCTAATCAGGATCCAACTGTTATCTTTTATCCATAATTTGTATTGTTGAAGATTTCAGTATTTGCGTAGTAAAAATAGCAAATTATAAGTATTTGGTATAGAAAAGCATGAAGCCCAATGCTTTGCCTTATCGCACTAATGTGAATGTAAAATTTACATTATTAATGTTAGCTTACGTGTTTTCCTCTATCAAGACACCAGGACAAGAAATCATCCAATGGGTGGAGAGTAAGAACATACAATAGAAAGTATTTGTTTACTCAATGGATAATTAACCTGAGGAATTTATTACTATAGGATATGGTGATAGCCACTACCTTGACTGGCTTTAAAAGAAAGCTGAAGACGGTGTATGGAGAATAGATCTATTAAGTCTTGAAGCCACAGTGTTCATGGTGGGTTGGAGGGAGCCTGCCTCCCAATTCCAAATGCAAGTGAGTAACAGTGAGAGAGGGGGTGTTTCCATGTTCTGCTTGCAAAGCCCAGAGGAATCTGGTTAGCCGCTGTGAGAAGCAAAATGCTGGATTAAGTTTCAATCCAGTAGGTTGTTCTTATGTTCTTGTTAGTCTCCAAATTATATTTCGTTTTTAAAAAGCCTGACAAAAACTTATGCATATAAATATTATTCCCCACATAATCCTCAAAAGAGAGCAAAAACAATGACAAGTGAGCCTAACAGGCTCTTTAAAAAACCAACCCTTCTACTTTTTAGTTCAGAATTGTTTACACAAAGCAAAAGGGGAGCCTGAATTCATGAAAAGTAAGTGATTGTGGAAAATGCAAACTAGACATGCTAGACAACTACAGAACACTGTCAGCTGGTCTGGATGGGGCTCCAAATAATTAGCTTCTATGTACATATCAGGTAAAATCAGCATCAGCAAACAATTAGAGATCTTTTTATAAACAGTACATTTTTTTCTCTTTTTAAATTGCTATTTGATAGAATATCTCAATTGCTAAGGGGGGGGGGAAGACTTTCAAAAATAGACACCTGAACAAAAAACTCAATTACAACGTGCTATTGCCCAATGTGTTTGATGTTGTATCTATATGTAATGCCACTAATTAAGTTTTGGAAATGGCACACACATGTCCACAAGAGTTAACAAAGCAGGAACAACAGAGATGGTGCTGCATATGTGGTTCTAATTTGACATTGCTCTTCTATCTCATTTTCCTGGAGGACTCATAGCCACTTCACGGCAAAATAAGCCCTGATCTGGGTTTAGATTACATGCTGGATGTGGTTAAAAGCTGTTTATATCATAGGTATAAGTAGCAGTTAGGACACTCATCCTTGACCACAATTTAATCTATAGCTTGTGACAAGTCAGTCATCTAACCAAACTAAATCAAACCAAAATATGGCTTCAAACGTTATGGCAATCAGGTCAGTATATAAGGTTTATTTTTGAGAACTTAATGTATCTAAAATGTTATAATTTCCCCTGCCAATAAATAAATAATCAAGGTCCTGTGTATGTGGGATATCAACTGTACACAGGCCATCATGTACAGTAGTCCATGTGGTAGGCATAGATTAAGTAAAGTATATTACACCGTATTCTTTTCGAAAGAAAGTAGAAAATATTTCTCAGATAGTTTAATTACTCTTAATTCCATTGTTCTTCCCAGGAGCACAAGGCAGCATAACTCTAGATTTGAACCTGAGTCTTTCTGTTCTTAATACAATAAATATCTGAATACACATTCCTTCTACATTTGAACATGAATAGTCATTTCAGTGCATCCAACTCTATTTCTTAAGTAATGCAATGCAAAGAAAAAAAATTCTGTACTCAGAGGTGCATTAATTTATATATGCAGTTCCTTGTCCAAGCATGGAAATTGTTCTATATATCAGTCACCTTCTCCAGAATGGAACAAGCACATTGCATTTCGATTCCTTATATTAACTAAGTAATAAAACTGGTAAAGCGGTTTTGAGACCAAAAGTATATTTCAACTGCATGTGATACTTTCACACTCTTCATGATCAAAATAATTTGCCAAAGAATTCTAAGGATGAAACGTTTGCTATTGGTCAATGATAAGAATTCATGGCAACTTGATGAAAAAAAAAACGGCAAAGTTATTAAGATACTTATGTTACTTTGAATACAAATTACTCTCTTATTTGAAGAGAAACCTGTCAAAATAAGTTACTACTTATTTTGTTGTTGTTTGAATGCTTCGTTTATTAATCTCAAACAATCAAAGAGCTGGATTTTAGAGATCAATACCATGGTGTTATATGTAACTAGCTAGAGCCAGTAGGGAGATCAGAGAAATATCTGAGACTGTAGAGTCTTACAGTAGGACTTCTTTGGGGTGCAGAGCTGAATGGCCTTGTAACAGAATTGGGAACAGACTGAATGCAAGGATCCCCCCAAAGACCAACTTTGGCATGCAACAGCTTATATTAGAAATGCCAGTATCATCCTTCTGGCCATATCTGACTTCAGCATATAGCTGCTATTAACGTTAGGCACTCCTACAAGAATATATAGTCCTTCTTCAGTGAATGAGCTTACTGGACAAAAATGGCCCGTTAACACGACAGAAGTGCAGTTAAAGGTGGATCTGAGGGCTTGCATGCTTGCTGTATTGACAGGAGAACTAATGATCATCACCAAAGGCCAGAGAGCAGTGCAAATGGCTATAGAACCCTATGGGAGGACTGGATGAATTGTGTGTATTTTGCTAACACAGAGTCTTCCATGTGCCACTTGGCAAACCGTCTCTGAAGCTCTGATCGGATATACGTAATGCATCAAGAGACATGATACGATACACTGTGCTTTTGTCCTAGTATGAATCCAGTTTAGAAAATGTAGTTTAAATTACAGGAAGGCGGAATCCAGGTAAATGTCTTTACAGTATGCCCGATGTGAAAGTGGAATCAATTACCCCAGAGACGTGGTGGGTTTCCATTCACTGGGTAGCCTTCTGCCTGGGTGCTTTCTTTTCATTCCTGCATAGATTATATTTGACAGTCTAAATCAGTGTTTCTCAAACTTGGCAACTTTAAGACGTGTGGACTTCAACTCCCAGAATTC